TTCCTGTTCTTAGAATATATAGAATGATTCCAGAACAGGATTACCAAGAGCAATTATCTTACTGCACTGGCAGATTATTCCACCTATTATGATGAGAAGAAGAAAATTTTATGCAAAATGAGATTAATAATCTGACAGTCAGCTCTTTTTGAGTATACAAATCTTAAAACAAGATTGTAAAGAGTTTTTAATTAGATCAGAGAGAAGGACATTCCTGCAGTGCATATCCTAGCCTATTCGAACTGTTATAAATAACATAGTGTATACTAGGGGTGTGGGAAATAATCGTTTTGGCGATATATCGTGATATTCGGCTGCCCAATATAATATCGATCTTTCACTTCTTAGTATCAATTTTCAAAAAAAAAAATGGTTACATAAAACATTGATGGGAAAATGGGCTACCTCTGCACCACCACTCTGGCAGAAAGCGCTGTGGAGCCCTTTAACTGTGCGTGCAGCACCAAATCTGTATTTTAGGCAGTCACAGTGGAAGAAAACCTCAAACAACATGGATGATAATACCTAATCAATATTTTCTGATGAAAATATACAGCACTTGCTGTTTTATCTCATCATTTGATTTTAATAGCTGGGGAAAATATGGCAACATATAGTGATACTGCAATATCGTGATAATATTGTATCGTGACCAAAGTATCGCAACATGTATCGAATCGCAACACTCATGCCAATACTCACCTCTAGAGTATACTGCAAAAACTGAGCTAAAAACTTCTCTCTTCATCCTCTGACATGGGAGCTGGCTTGGAGCTCGTCTGCCTGGCTGTGTTTCCTGGACGGGGCCGACTGTGGAGCTGGTTTACAGTTGCCTTTTGTATCTATGCTTCTTTTTCTATGTCTGCTTCTGTCTCCTTGAACCCCAGTCAGCCTCAGCCTATCCTAAACATAAATGATCTAATTCCACTATCTGCCTTACCTGCTCAACTCAATTACAAGAGAAACTGACAATCATATTTCAATTTTTGCAGTGTAAGTATGGATTTAGAAATTTTAACAAAAAAAACTTTATTAAACATATTTTGAAATGTGTTTCTATGTGGGGGTGGGGCAGTGTAATTGCTGCTGTTGAAAGCTAGAAATGATTTCCATAGATTTCCAATTTTCAGATCTCTTTTATATCTATCTATAGTACCTAATATTGAAATGGAGCAAAAACAAACAGCTAAACTTTAAAAAATGAAACTTTAACCGTTTAGTTTGTGTCTTCAAGTTGTTGCCCATAGGAAGACGTAACTTGGATATAACCTAATATAACGGAATATATTCAGAACGGCTCCAAATGACACAAAACTCATAAGGATGAGTAATGATGTAATAACGTAAAATCAAGGGCCCAATGTAAAAAAACGGCGTTCCCCTTTAAGTAGGGGTAATAATTCAGAATGCATAAAATTCCGCCGGTAAAATGTTTACCAGCAGGTGGAGCCGTTGCGCGCTGCTCCAAGCTGACACCAAAAGTTCCAAACCCCACCGCTCTGGAACTGTTATAACTAGAGGTCTGAAATTTTCTACATTTGTGGTCAACATGATGTAGAGCAAATATAATACAATAAAATCTGCCTTTTCTCAAGAATGTCTTTATTAATGCTGTTAAAAAAAGACCTATCATTTCGGAGAATAAAAAAACAACAACTTTGAGTCATGTTTGAACTGATGCAGGTTGGTCTGTGTTCTAGTCACCCAATTGTATTTATTTATTAGGAAACTAGAGGATGTTAGCTTTCAGATAATGTATTGCACATGCAATTTGGGCTTACAGTTCCTAAGTTATTTGCTTTTCCATTTGGGTATGCAAAATAGGACAGGATTACCCTAAATGAGGTGGGTGTTAAGAGGTTAAAGGAGATTGTAATTTATTTTTCTGCAATATTTAAATAGTTTAGTGATGAGTTCTCTCAGTAACAGACTAACTTCAGCTTGACTGAATGATGCATTCAAAATCATAGAGTTTAATTCATTTCTCTTTCTGTTGGAGGTTCACCTCCTGTGTGTCCCAGCTGATTGCCGTCACCCCGCCTGGTGTGGTGATTTTTTTTTAAGCCCCACTTTGTGTGTGAAATTATTTCTTTTAACTATTTGACTCAAATCTGCATTGAATTAGATGCATATCTGTGAGTGACATGCGCAAATGGAGAACAAATTATTATCCAGCAATTCATTTGAATACAAAATAACAAACTTTGCTGAAGAAAATAAGTATCTTAAACATAAGCCTGTCCTGCTTAGCTTCAAAGAGTAAAAATGAATACAAAACAACTTATAAATAGTGCATATTTTTTGGGCAACAGCAAACTTGTAAACATATTTGTCCTTTAAATCCAATGACTGTAGGCTACAGTTGTAAAACAGAAAAATAATCATTAGCTCAAGGCCACATTATGTGGCGATAGCCTAATTTTTCCATTTGTATTTCCTCTGAGCTCTTGCAGCAGTGAGGATTTGTTTGTCTTTGAGTGCTGCAGAGTAAAAACTCTGAGCAAGATAGTTCCTAACTGAGGCTGACAATAAGTTCAGCTTTAATTAATTCAGTGGATCATTTATTCTGCAAATCAGTTCATTTATTGTTCATTAAGGAAAAAATCCTCTCCATAAAACCAGTGGAAGATGGGATGCTGAGGCAAAGGAAAGCAGCTTGGATGTTGGGAAGGTGAGCTGCCTCAAGAACCTCCATCCACCTCTCTGCTGTTCCTTTGGACTGCCAGGATTCCTTTTCCTGAGTGAGGAGATCCAGAAGAGTTTGCAGTTCCACATTCTTCCTACAGATCATCCATGGACATCCTCAGGATGCTCTGCTGTCTCCTGCTGTGTTTTCTGTGAGCAACACTTGGCTCAACCAATGGGATGAGGGGATTCTGGATCGTTACATATATGCTGTCAGCTCATTGGTCACAACGCAGGACAGGGACGGGAACAAGTTTACCGTAAGTTTTGTATCTAAAGTGCCCCTGTTCTTCATTTTCCATTAGCTTTTTACTGACTATTTCTTTACTCTAATAAGGGACAAAGTGCGCTCCTTTTCCACTAAATACGGGACGGTACTTCTATTTCTAAACACAGAATAATTCTGTTTTTAATGGGACAGTTTGCATCCCTACTTACAGCAGAACCTCCTCAGCTCTGAGCTCCAGCAGCTCCTGGATCAGCTCCACTGGGAACCTGTCCCACTGCAGGGCCACTGCTTCCGGTTCCTGTTGCTAGGAAACGGTTTAATGACAAAAGATTCAATAAAACCAATTCAGAAACTGAGAGCGGAAATAAGAAGGAAACAAACCTTCATGACTGTCGGCAGCAAACTTCCCACCAAGTCCAGCTGCTCTTCCAGACCCGCTGTTACCGCGGTTGTCATGGCAACCGCTAGACTACTCAGACTAGAATGTGTTGCTTCTGTTTGATTTTTTATAAATTTGAGCTCAATTTCTTTCCTGTTTTTCCAGTTTGGGTTTGATGAATTTCATTTCTCTCCAATTGCATTTTCTGAACCAATCAGAAACTCGCTCTCAATGAGCGCGTGTCTAACGTCCATGCAGACCAATAGAAGTATTTGTCACTATAACGGTGGATCAATAAAACAGAGAAAATTAAATAAGGAAAAATTTAACTTTTTTTATCTAAGAAAACAGCAAAGTTGGGATCTACATTTAGAATCTGTGTTAGATTTTTTTCTCTTTGCTCCAAAAACAATCAAAGAAAATTCACTGCATATAAAATAAACTAAATAAGCAACAAACTAAATAACCTTTTTGACTTTCCAAAACTTTTTCTCTAAAAACAAAAACAAACAACTGCTGCTTTCCCGGACATGTTGACTGATGTTGTCATGGCAACCTGCCAGAGTGTCGTCACTCACCAGCCCTTCAAAATAAATGAAAATCGAATAAGAATTATTTTTAAATAAGTTCTATAATTTTTGATGTTTTGCGAATAAAAAAAAATCTCTCTCTGCTGCCAAACTTATTATTTATTTCTTTAAACTAAATATTCGGACATGTTTCTTAAACACTGAGGAGGATGAAGATGCTGGATGGAGGTAAAATGCCATCTGACCTGTGATTGGTGGATGAACAGCAGCTATGATGGGGGCGGAGCTGGCGGGGAGACCAATCTTCACACAACACCTCCAATCCGCTGCGTGTCTGCGGCGCGCATCCTGCCGGAGCGGAGCCGCTCCGGAGCCGGATGCAGGAGCGCCCCGTCCGCTTTAAATCAGAGATATTTGATGTGTTTTTCCCAGATGAAACTAAAGAGCTGCAATCATCTCCATGGCTTCTTCTCCCCCTGATGCCTTTCTAACAGAAACCACTTTGGATGCTTCCTGCGCGTCAGCAGCCGCCCAGCTGTCCACCCACGCGCATGTGTCACGCAAAGCTCAGTAGAAGACATAAAGCAGGCGTGGATGTTCTGCCCTGACCGGATCTGGATGGAGTCAGGAGAAGGAGGCCGACTCCCGCAGCAACCGAGCTGGACCATCAGCCACAGGCTCCTGTGATCAGAGCATCTTCATCCTCCTCCTCCTCAGTCAGAGGAGCATCTCCTGATCCATGGATCTGTAGCTCAGGGAAGGGTGTGGTTCTCAGCTTAGGAGCAACTTTACTGAGGCTGATGGTGAGTAGCTATCTGTCTAGGATTGCATTGCTATGTTGAAATGACACTAATATTTATATCAACTTCCTTTAATCAAGATGAAATCATATATTCAGACTATAAGCAGGGGCAGATTTAGGAAATGTGGGGCCCTAGGCAAAGACAGGCAGGGGGCCCTCTGAACTGAGAAGACAACACATCAAATAGACCCATTATACAGATAGAGAAATGTTAATAGAATAGAATATTTTTTTAATCTTAACTTCAGAAGTATTCTCTAATCATAATGTGTTCTTATAATCCTTATTATATCCATAAACATCACAAAGGTAGTCCATTAATATTCCCTAGAACAGCAATCTAGGGAATTTCTGTCCCGCAAATGGACTGATCCAATATGGTGGACACTGATGACAAACTTAATATTATAAGCGTTCTGATGGCATTTTAGCCAAAGGATTTTAATCAAAAACATAATTAATGTGCACTAAAAAGGAACAGTTGTATTAACAATGAATGTAAACACAGTTTTTATGTGGCCCCCAGGAACTTGGGGCCCTAGGCAACTGACTAGTATTGCCTAATGGTAAATTCCCTCTGATCATAAGTGTCTTAATTAGTCCTTTCTGTCTGAAATCGTTTGGCTTATCGATTTCTGCAACTCTCGACTGTCATCCTGCGCCTCCTGCTGTTCACCCTGATGACACACGACTGCGTCGCACCACCTCACTGATCAAAAGGGCACAGAATCTCTTTTACTTCCAGAGGAGGATGAGGGGAGCCTTCTGTCCTCTTCACACGCTTCACAGCATTCAATGCAGGTCCAGCAGGTTCTGCAACAGCTTCTTCCCCAGCGCCATCACACTGATGAACTGTTAGAAAACTCTAAATCATGTCACAGACTCCGCATCACACTGATAACACCAAACCAAAATACTGCATATTTGCACCATATATATTAATGCTCTGAACTTCTGTATCAATGCGGTTTTTTTGCACCATGTTTTTTTTCTTCCACACTGTTTACTGCTCACTGCTGCACTTTATGGAATGGAAATGTTCATTTACTGTCTGGAAAGCTTTACTAGATGAAATGAATATTTTTATACACTCTGGGTACACAAAATGACAATAAGGTTGTCTAAATCTAGTCTAAAACCTGTTGGAGTCTGCAGACGACCTGCGACTGGGACAGAGATTCATCTTCCAACAAAACAATGATCCAAAACATGAAGAAACGTCAGCAATGGAATGATTCACTGATAAACACATCCAGGTGTTAGAATGGCCTAGTCAAAGTCCAGAATCTGTGGAAAGAACTGAAAGGTGGTTTTCACAGATGCTCTCCATCCAACCTCACTAAACTCCAGATGTTTGCAGGAAGAATGGAGAAAAAAAATTAAAATCACTTCATGATTGTTACTCACTTGCTGTTAATTCTTTACAAAGAATTACAATTTAAATGTTTATGTTTAAGGTTTGAAATGTGGCAAAAGGTCGAAACGTTCAAGGTGGCTGACTAGTTTCGCATTATACTATTTTTTCTACCCTTACCTGCATCTCCACCCCACGTTCTCCCAACCTCTCCACAGTTTACAGCTTGTTGATTTTTTTGCTGGTTAGGAAAAAAAATGTTGAAAGAAACCCTTTGCTTTGGTGCAAAATGTTTTTTGTAAATCCACGTGTCTGTAGGTGTTTCAGATGAGTGGGGAAATAAATGATCACTGCACCGAACAGACTGGAGCAGAGTTAGTGGATAACAGCAGAGCTCTAACAGTCCTTCACTACACGGGTCTGAATATGCAAGCTAGCATTAGCACATCATAAACAATAAATAGTGGAAGGAATAAACTAAGAATGAATCCAGAAATACTGACATCAGAAAGTAAAGAGAAAATCAAATAAAAATGTTAAGAAACAAACAAGACTACGGAAGCCTAGAGCAGTCACACTCAACTTTTTTTTTTCTTTCTTTGCCTTCCGAAATTAATTGTTTTCTCGAGATAGTAAGATAATTATCTCGTCATCAGGAGAAAACATTTGATTTCTGGAGATAACGAGATGATTAACCTGTCTGAGTAATGAATGAGGCAGGCAAACAGCCCTGGATTCCCAGTCCATCCATGCCTGCGGGGAGTTCTGCAGTACTGCGTGTGCGCAAATAATCAGTTTTTTAGTTTCCTTTTTCGTTTCACTCATTAGCTACGTTTACATGGACACAACTAATCGGATTGAAGGCCTGATCAGATCAAAAATGTTTCATGTAAACATGTCAGACTGAAGATTCTAATCCGATTCGGTCCGATCGGATCTAAATTTAATTCCGAAAGAGAGAGGTGGTTTTTGCCGATCGCCATTCCGATTGGCGTCCATGTAAACACCCATTCGGATCTTAAGAGTAAAATAATCTTCACTGCGCATGTGTGCGACGTCAGCGTGACGTTTTTCCGCCTTGTCAACAACAGGAAACCACCGGTCGCTCTCGCTCTCGCTGTGAACAACATGGCGGGAGGAGTCTAGGAACGCCGACTTATACACTCAAGTTCATTTAAAGCTGCAGGAAGCAGGAATTTATCCTCTTCCTCTTTTCTCTCTCCACAGCCCACTCGCTCTCCCACGCCGGTTCAATCGCTCATTCTCTACATTTTCTCTCTGACATTTCGCTGCCAAGCGCTTTTTTCCTCCTCTCTCCGTTTTTCTTTCCGCTCGCTCCGAGCGCATCGTTTGTCAGGCCTCCCAAAAACCAGACGCAGACAGAACTGCCAAGTTTGGCAGGAAGTTCTGCGCATGCTTAAAAGATTTAATCTGATCCAACGCTTGGTACATGTATACACACGTCATGATCGGATCATTTCATTTAGTGTCCATGTAAACGGAGATTTTGAATTTCCGATCAACCAAGGTTTGGATCGGATCGGGGAAATTTTGCGCATGTAAACGTAGCTACTGTCAGGTGGTGGTGGATGATTGGATTGCATGGAATACAGTAGATACAAATCTGATTGTTTTTTTTAAATGAAAATCTTTAATCTGGACTCGTTTTGGAGGTTAATGCATCTTATAGCTGTTCCAGGCGTAACACTGGGGCTGTTCAGGAAACACCTGGAGGCATAGGGCTAATCGCTGATGAATCAGAAGGGGAAGCAAATAATTAAACCATCAACGTCGTCTCGTTATCTAAAAGTTAAACACAGGATTTTTTACAGAATTACACGCAGGCTGCCATGACTTATAAATCATCTCCTGCTGTTTTGGTGTTGAAAGATGGAATCAGTTTTAACACACACCAATCATCTTAAGAAAACGGCTTTTGTTATCTTTAAATAATGAGAAAAATAACTCGTTTTTTTTTTTTAGTAAACCACAGTAAAAAGTATCAGAGGGACACGATGCTCTGGGCACAAGATAAATAGACTAGAAAGCAACTATAAAACTGCAAACAAACTGCACTAATACTGCAATTCTCAAAATAGCTAACCATTTACACACAGTACAGGGCCTTTGTGTTCTAAAAGTTGTTATTATACTATCAAGCAGAGCCACCGAACAAAAGAAACCAAATTAGATTATCTTGCAAAGTGACTCCAGAGAATGGTCAGTCAGCTGAGGAAAATAGAGATCTTCTCTGATGTTATGTATCTCCCCTCCTAGCTTTAGCCTGTGTGGGCTTCTGTGTATATATGTTTTGCTTTATGGAAGCTGGAAAGCATGTAAGCAGTCATGCTCAGCCTAATGGGTGGTTTAGTCAGTGGAGCATGATGAGAGACCCCATTTTCATGCAGAGATGTGAAAGAAGAGAGATCAGACAGGATGTGTAAAACACAGGAACACAGAGAAGAAGTGAGCTGACGCTGTCAGAAAGGCAAAGCCGCCTTGGCTTTTGATTTCTGCAGACACGGAAATCATCATGTCGGAGTGAGTTCTGCAGAAAGAAGGACTAACTCTTATTAAACAGGCACATTTTGTTTTTACCACTTTGGGAAAGAGACTTTTGTGTGAAAGTTCATTCCTCCTGTAAGAGCCAACCTATTATTGTGGCTAAATAACAAAAACAGTGGCTGTAATTATAGCGGTCAGGTTGCTGCTATAGATGGCAGCTATATAGGTTGCTGCTTATTCTTTGGGTTGACATGATGTTTCCAAAGCATTTAACTAAAACCAGAGGTTTTTATCAATGATGGCGATACGGCTCATTCATTTCTGAAATAATTACAATATTGCAGCTTTGAGTAATGACCAATACCAATATTAACCCAATATCATATCAGCAAAAATCATTCATAGTCTTATTACTTATTTTAGGGGGATTTGCCATTAGGCAAAACTAGGCAGTTGCCTAGGGCCCCAAGTTCCTGGGGGCCCCAAAAAACTCTGTCTACATGTATGGTTAAGTCCTTTGGCTAAAATGACATCAGAAAGCTTATAATATT